AAAAAAAAAAAAAAAAAGAAATTCACTTCACGTTTAAAAAAAAAAAAATCCTTTCAATCTGAATCAAATTTGGCCACTTTTTCAGTTTTGCTCAGGTCGCCGGAGGGGTGTTTTTTTCTCGATCACAAGCTTTGCCGATGAGCGTGTTCGGTGGCGACAGCTGGGGGCGCGAGGCGCAATGCCGGAAGAGGAGAGTCGACGATCTATTAATCGACGGCGTCGAAGCTTCTGCTTACAAGAGGCTTACCAATGGCAAATTCGCTTGCCTTGTTTGCCCCCAAAATCCCGTTCTCGACACCCCGATTATGCTCTCAGTAAGAATTTCTACAACTTTTTCTTAATATTTTTTTTTTCCTCAGGTTGAATACTCTTCCCCTATTGACGACAGTGCCTGCAATTTTAGGGAAAACGTTAGGGTTTCTTCGTATATGAGGATTTTGGTTTCAATTTTGTTGCTTGCTCAGGTTTTAATATGGTTTACAAGCTTCCAGTTTATCTGGGCTGAGTAAGAAATTTGATTCTGAGCCGAATATTGTGATTTTTGTACAGACACATGTGAATGGCTCACGCCACAAAGCTGCCGAGTCGAGGCATAGAAAACGAGAATTGTATATACAACAAGAAGCGAACAAACGATCAGGATTACCGGATTGTGTTATCATCTCCAATCGTCCGTTCGGTACTCGGAAAATGAATTCCCAAAAGCCCTTGATCGAACGAGCCAGTAAGGCTGCATCTGAGGTGTTTCTTGGCCAAGAGCATAATCCGAAATCTGAAATCGGTAATTCAACTGTGCCAAGTATTGAAAATTGTAACGGTTGTGCTAAAGGCATTCAAATTGAAGGCACAAACAAAGGGTTTGTTAGAAAGGTACCGAAATTGGAGTATAGAGAACAGGTAGAGAGGGAGCTCAAGTTCACGGCTGCTGGGTGGAAACGAGATTGTCATGGCAGATGGTTCAAGGATGAGAATGTGAGTCTTTGTTATGTGTTCTTTTGTTGTGCAATGTGTTGTCAAAAAGTTTTAAATCTTGAGCTAAAGTCGATTTAATGTTGTTCTAATGAAATAAAGATTGCTCGATGGTGAGAGGTTGTTTTGATCGGCCGTTTTCTTGCAGGCCGAGTTTGATTCTGATGAAGAGGACCCGAACCTAGTCTTGAACGACGCCACTTGACGCTTGGGATTTTATCATTGTAAAAAAGTCTCCAGCTTTTTCTTTTTTTGTTGGTATCAGATACTTATGATGACTATGCAAATCAGTAGGTGTATGTCTTGTTACTCTGCACTACGTAAGGGTTGTATGATGCTGCGTGTCGACTGTGAAAACTGTATGATGCTGCGTGTCGACTGTGAAAACCCAAATCCGAGATTTTATTCAGACTTCATATCCGATGGGATAATATTGTCTGTTCTTTGAGGTTTTGATCCTCTGTGCATCTCATCATTTGATCAACATTTTTTCTTAAAAATCTCGCAGTTACATTTATGAAGTGCTATAGGCAAGAGACACTAATGCGCATGCACATTTTACTGAAGAAATTAATCAAAGGGACGTTTTTAGGGTTGAATTTTGTTACCTTTTTTTTGTTAAATTTAACTCTTATATTGTGATTCCTTGATCATATTAGGGAATTTTCACGAAATTTTCAAGTAGTTCACTATGCGTATGGTTAATAAAATACTCTTTAAAACTCTTGAGGGAGAGCTTTGTCGCCCTTGTGGTTCTACTCGACTCGATTTCGGATTAGTCGGTTTCCTTGTGGAACCGGAAACCAGAAAGTCCCTGTACCAAAAAAAAAAAAAAAATACTCTAGTTTATTGGATAAATGATCGTATATAGTTTATTATGATAACATAATCGGATCAATAATCATAATGTTTATCCACACAGTCCCTTTCACAAAACAAAATTATGGAGAATTAAATCTTTAAGAGTATACATAAGATTAATAATTATATGAAATTGGTGTGAACTATCATTATAAAAAATCAATGCAACATTTAAATGCTTGAAAAGCGAAAATAACCTACTAAACATGAGGACCGACCTTTTTATTTTTTAAGGTACCAAATTTTTACAAGCATCGAAGTATGAACATTTAAAATAATTTGAAGATATCATTAAGAGACACTTGATCAAATCATTTTTTTCACCATGAACTTCCTGCAGAACTCAAATTTAAAAAATGTTACTTTTGTTGCTTTGCCTGGGGTCTTTCATGATATAATGCAGCTCTATCAGAGCTTTGAGTACTGTAATTTTACTACTTTCAATTGATTTTATGACTTTTGTAACTGTTGGTGGTTTGTTAGGGCTTATCATGTGTATAAGCTCGTTTCTTGCTTATCTAGCTTTTTAGCATAGTTTTAAATGGCGAATGGCGAGGCGAGGCGATTCGCCCATAGCCTCGCCACGAGGCGAGGCGATTCGCCATGGCGAGGCCTCGCTAACACAAGCCATCAAAGCTTAATATATATATATATATATATATATATATATATATATAAGTCTAAGTGCCAAAGTAATCTTAAATATCCTAAAAAAATTACATAAATTAAATTTAGTTGTAATTACTAAAAGCATCTAAAACTTAATTGTGAATACTAACAATTTATACTTATATTAAAAGGAAACCTATTTACTAAATATAGTAGGTAGAAAAGTCAACTTTAATTAATGAACTTCTAATTTTATCAAGTAGTAATTAATTCATTTATAATTTTAATCAAGTTTCCTATTTTACATATTGTTTTTAATCCTTCTTATCTTCACATAAAAAAAATCCCATAAAATGGGGTGAGCAAAAACAATCAAAATTCTGTTTTAAAAACTACAAATCAATATTACGATTTTGAATAATACACTAACAAATTATAATATATTTTTATAAAACTTATAAAAAACTATTAAAAAAACTTGGTTCGTATATTTGTATGAATATTTATATTTTTTTAATATTATCTTTGTGTTAAAAAATACTATTTAACGCTATTATTTTTTATTATATAATAAAATAATAATTAAATATTATATGATGAACAAGAATAAATAAAACTTTTACTTTTTTCTTATATCAAGGGATAAATTTATATACTGAAATTAAAGTTTTATTAGTATAAATATTTTAGTGAGATAATATATTAATTATTTTACAAGCTAGCCATAATATACTCATATTTAAGTTCTGGCTAAAAAACAATGCTGGTTAAAAGATATGAAAAAAAACTTATAACCTTATTATTTTTTAGACTTAACGTTGATTAAAAGAGGTAGAAAATAGATAATAACACTATTACTTTTAAGATTTAAACGGACAAGGCTGTTAAAATAACTCATTTAATATCTAATTTCCGTGCATCGCACGGGGTACGTACTAGTAAGGTAAATAAAAAGTGTAAAGTAAAAGAAAATGAAAGAAAAATGTCACCTTTGACTATTGACAAAAATAGTAAACATAAATAAAGTAAAAAAGTAAAGAAAAAAAGAAAAAGATAGGCGGTGGGAACGAGAAAGCAGAGAAAAGGGAGAAGGAAAAGAAAGGAAAAGGCACGCATCACCGACCGTCTTGGCGGCGGCAAGATGGTGGTCGTAGTTCAGAGGAGGCCGGAAATAGGATGGGTCGACCGAGGGTTTCTGCAATTTTCAAATCTGAGAAGCCTAAGGAGTTCTTTCGCAGAAACCCTAGTTCTAGTTTGGGGAGAAGCCATTTAGGGATTTTTCACTGAAGTTCTTTTGCTTCGTGGATTTGGGAGTGTTGGGTTCGATATACCGTACGGAACAGAGTTTACAGCGGAATTTAAAATTTTATAAGTATTTATCTTATAAATACTTATTCCGTACATAAGTATAACGATATTACGAATAAGCATCATTTAAAATCTAGTGACTTTTACTAATTTTGATTTGATATATATAATTTATAAAATTACATTCGTTTAATCGCATTAAATAAAAAATGCAACCATCAATCATATTGAATAAAATGCAATCATTCATTATTATGAATAAAAGGCTCATGATCATCCCATTCATCACATAAATTTAATTATCATATAAACTTAAACAAATCAAAATCTATTTTTAAAGATGCTAAT